TTTATCATTTTTAATTTAGATTTAAATAATTCAACTGCAACATTCTCATTGGTACATGTGGACAAAGGTACGGTACCTTATGGGTACCGTAGAATCTACCTTTATTTTATTATTCAAGTGTGAGTCAAAGTTGATCAATCTTTATAAGAGGAAGAAAGTACTAAATAAGATATTAATTGAATCGCATTTCCAATTTCCAAATTCCAATTTTAAATGAGTATGTCCTTAAAAAGTAGCAGCGATTTTTTTTAAAGGAAAAAAAAGTAGCAGCAATTAAAAATTAAAATCTATTCTAAAAATGTAATGGTTTGAGATATAAACAAATAAGATATATAGCATGTTTAGTGATCCTCATTTTATTAACGTTTTAAACCAACTTATCTATCAAACACGTAATTTTTTTATTTTTCGTGTTGAATTGTGTAATAATCACAATAAGTAAGTTTGAGATTAATTTTCTAACTAGATTGATGATTAGTGTAATAGTGTTAGTGCAGACGGTCACTTTAGCTATTTTCATGCATATTATATTTTTTCTTTATTTTATTAATAAAATATATTTAAAATACTTTTTCATAATTCAACAAATCCAACCACTTCGACCAGTCAAGGTGAGTTTCATCAATTTCAGCAAATTCAACTGATTCAGTTGATTTCAATGTTATCAAATGGGCCCGAGTATATTACTAACTCCTTAAGAATATAAAGTATTAGAGTTTACAACCTTTGTAAATACAAATTTTTATTGCTTCCAAAATATATAATACGGAGTAGTATAATTTTTATTACTCCTAAAAAATCATTAATAATTAAATATATAAAGAAGTTATACTCACATATACATACTCCCCAGGTTCCTTATAATTATGGCAACTTTCCTCTTTTGGTTGTCTAAAAATTGTGTCACATTCTTTTTTAATATATGAATTTGTGACTCTTGTTTTTCTCTCTCCCCTGCATAAATATCTACCATGCAATTTTTACTTTATTATTTTACGTGTCGTTCAAACTTGACAAACTTTTAAAAGACGGATGAAGTATATATTTTTATGTATTTACATATACACATGGCCAGCAAGGGCGGAGCCAAGACACTGGGTCACATTGGACCGGCAAAAAGATATTTTTAGAAAAAAAATTACACAAAATTTTTTACCTTAGAAATTAAGTTATTTTTAAAATTTGGGGTGGGCCCGGACCAGGATTGGCCCACTCCTAGCTCCGCCCATGCACATGGGTGGATGAGCGGACCAGACGATTTAGGTGAAAGATTGGATATAATTGCGTAATATAATTGCCACACGCCCTTGATTTAATTGCTTTAATCAATTAAAGTGATTTTTCATATATTAAAAAGCAATTTTTTTAATGGTTATCAAAAAGTAATTATTACTGCCACTTCCATAGATGAGTTGTAATTATAACTGCCACTTCCATAGATGAGTTGTGAAATCTATTAAAAGAAATGGATGTGTAATATAATTTCCACACACTCTTGATTTTCTAGAGAAAATCGTGTTAAGCGTTAAATGCATTGCGCGAAATATAATATGGATTGAGAAGACTCAATAATGGCAGTTTTGCTTTAAACAACTCATCTATGCAAATGACAAACATATCACTGTAACGAAATTTAATACTCCAAAATTTGAACTCAATACGGAAGGTTGATTGCATTTATCTTCATAAGATTTGATCAAATTATTAAATCATCCTTGGGGGATGATTTATCGCTTGACTGCTTGAGTAATCTAAAATTTTCAAACCATGGTATCGCTTGAGTACCAAAACATGATAAAAACATACTAATTGTACGTGACTAACGTGAGTGATTTATATTCCGTATTTAATAGAGAAAATTATTAATAAATAATAAATTCGTAAGATATAATTAACTTATTAATATACTCGTTTTACGTAAAGGAGAGAGAAGCTCCGATTTTTCCTAGGGCGTGAGCCGCTAGGTTCTTTTTCTCCGATTTCGATCTCATCGATCGAAGATCGCGATCGGCTTTCTTGTTTGCTTCGACGCCTTCATACCGAGATAGTAGGTGGCGGCGTGAGGCTAATGGCTGGGTCATGGCGTGAGGGATCAAGGTCTACTGCGTGAGCCCTGTTTCTGGGTTCGGCCGCGGAAGAGAGGAGAGGAGAGCTCGAAGGACTTGGGCATCGGGATCGAAAGAGGACGACTGCAGATGGAGATGACTGGAGTCGGTAAGAAGAGGATCAGAGATCAATTCACACAGATGAGGAGAGCCGAACAGTGCAAGTTACAGACAAATTTCAAAAGCATATCAGCGGTGAACAAAAGGCGGTCGAGTCGGAGGTCAACCGCTTTGGTGCAACAACAATCGGCGTGAGGGTCCGGCCTTCTCCAGAACCACCACCAAGGGTTGATCGACGCGTTTTGGAGTTTGCTTATTTGTCTTTTCTGCATTTAAAATTCCAAGTTAAGACGTTTGTGCGTTGTTATTTTATTATACACGGTAAGACTCTTGCATTAGGTTTGGGGGATGAGAGGTCTACGGTAATCGTCGTTTGCTTTATATTGCCCAAGTTAGGTCTAGCGAGTTATATTGCTTTGTCAAAAGTAATTACCTCAGAGTCTCGGCCAAGGGCAGATGGTTACATGTGGTTCTTTTACGTTCGTGTACCCCTGCTGAATACTATTTTAATGATATAAGCACCCTTACAATAAAAAAATTAACTTATTAATAAATAAATTTAAATAAATAGTTTTTATGGACTAATATGCCCTTTAGGTTATACATATAAAACTCTAATCTCTTATTCATTTTATCGTAGCCTCCGGCGAACCGTCACCGTCCATCCGCACAGTCGCCTGCTCGACACCTTCGTCTTGCCCACTCACTGCCTTTGTCATTTGATATGGCGGATTATTTGATTTTGACATGCACCCGGTCGGGTGGGCACTTGACCCGGTCGGTACCCGGCCAAAGGTGTTGAAAACACATATAAATAGCTCCATTTTCCTTCACTTTTAAGAATCCCTTCTTCCATACTCTTAAGCTCAGTTTAGAATAGTATTTCTTTTATATTTTATAGCATGTGTAGTCTCCAAATGAGGAGCTAAACTTCCATTTCTTGGTGTTGCTCTTGAAGCTTGTTGATTATTAAAGTTGTGAGTTATTTTCTTAACTTCTTCCCTTGAATATTAATTATTCTCTTAATCTATCTATACATTAATGTTGGGGAGTGTTGCTAAGATGACAATTAGTTAATATCTCGACATTAGTTATAGTAGTATTTATTTTCTTCCTCTATATATTAATGTTGGGGAGTGTTGCTAAGATGACAATTAGATAACATCTTGACATTAGTTATACTTGGATTATTCATATTTAATCTTTTTCCTTGAATATTAATTCTTCCCTTAATCTATCTCTATATTAATGTTGGGGAGTGTTGCTAAGATGACAATTAGTTAACATCTCAACATTAATTACTACTAAAAACGATCAACGAACCGATGGTTAATCGTTGATGGTTTCACAAGTACGTAATTTCGGTTTATTAATGCACGGTCGTGGTTAATAAACTTAAGAGGGATTAATTTTGTTGGTTAAACCGAAACCGTTGTGTTGAGGTTATCAATCTCAATTGATTTCATCAAGGAGTTAAGAGATTAAATGCTACCATTAAGTCGGTATATGACGGTGTTCTATACTTGACTAATAGTAAGAGTTATTAATGAACGGTCGTTGTTAATACCTACTCTCGATGAATTGGATATACTCCTCGATTGAGTATTTGAGAGGGGATAAGTTATAGATATAACAATGATCGACTAAAATATATCAACAAGTGGAAAGTAGCAATGCCAAGTCCTTTTTATCTTTGAATTAAATCACATATAAGTCATTCATTTTTGTGTTTAATTTTAATTAAATCATTCAATCCCCAAACCCCCCTTTGATTTACTAGTTTTATAAAAAAAGAGAATTATTCTTTTCCCTGTGGATACGAACTCTACTTCACTATACTACGTATTAGTGCTAGTATTGAATTTATTTTGACGCACCGTGACAAAGTGTCCCTCAAATTTGGCGCCGTTGCCAGGGAAAGGCAATTATTTTTCTTTTTATTTTATCTCATAAAAATCAAAATCAAAAACAAAAAAAAAATATAAATAAAAATTTTACTTGTCCATTTTCTGAGCTTTCATGAGTATATGGATACCAACATATCATCCCTAGAGAGTCAAATTTCTGACTTGACTTTTCTAATAAAGGAGGGTATTTCAAGTTCAAAATCTCAAGATGTCCATAGATGCAACATTTGCATGTCACACAGGGATCTTACGGATTTTTGCCCAGAACTTAAAAAAGAACACTTTGAACAAAGGAATGATGTTGGTTTCCATTTTTTCGGGGGTAAACATGTAACTTCGCATCCTTATACGTTTAAATACCTAAATCGAGTTATCGTCAATCCTTTATCATGCTTATCAGTCCAAATTGAATGTTTTGCTTATTCCTTTGCTTTGAACTCTTTTCCGCCAATTTTCCGTTGAAAATGGCGTTCGAATATTAAAACTATATTGAATCCAAGATTTCCGCTTGAATGTCGAAGCTGAAGACGAAGAACCCTAAATATAAACTATATGCAAACTGCGTCAAACCCCATCGTGAAATATAAACTCGGCGCATTAGCCCCTGTAATTTAAAAACAACGTCAAGCCCCATGTGTTATAATTAATCATGCGACAAACCCCTCCAAGAACAAATTTAATTTCCAAAAAATGAAAAATGATTAGTTTCTGTATTATTTAGAAATTTTGACAAAGTTACTTGCATATTCAACCATATTATTAAAAAAAGTGATTTCAAAATTGTAAAATTTATTTTTGGAGGGGGGTTGGCGCATGATTAATTATAACATAAGGGGATTTGACGCATTTTTTAAATCACAAAAGCTAATGCGCTGAATTTATATTTTACGAGGGCTTTTGGTGCATTGATATGTTAGTTAAACCAAATGTTTTGGTCATTCTAGATTAGATAAGTTTCTGCATGTTTGGGGTGCAAATTCCCCGAATTTAAATTCTCTAATCTAATTCTCAATTTGAATTCTCCGGTCTATTAATGTGCGAGTACATTTAGAGAGAAATGAAACCATGTTGACACACTAAGAGCGAGCATCTCCAATGGTATAATGTGCACGGTGCACACGTGGCATGAGAGATAGCCACATAAATATTAATAAATAAATTCTTTCTCTACTTATTTTAATGATTTTATACAGATTTAGTAAGTTTTTCTCCACAATGTCAAAGAGACCGTCTAAATGTTGACATTGCAATTGACATTGCAGGGAAAAACTTACCAAAATTATATAAAATCATTCAAATAAGGAGAGAAATAATTTATTTGGTAATATTTATGTGCCTATCACTCATGGCACATGTGCACCTTGCACATTTTAGGATGCTCTAAGTATGGCATTATTACATCGAAGGTAGGACACACACGTATGCGACTCCAACTGCCACCACTGCTTATTTAGCAGAAGACCCACAGAGAGCAACATTTCTAGTGGAAGGTCTGAATGTCAAAGCGCTGAGGCTGTAGATGCAGGTATTGGCAGTTATGGATTTGATGGCCACTTCTTCTGTTGTGGTTGTTGATGCAGGAAGGTTGCAAGAGGCTGACGGTGATGATGATGATGATGGGCCATTCTGCACTATTAGGCTAGCCCGGCAAAAGTTTCCCATCTCTTTCTCTCTTGCACACTCGATCCCATCCACTGTAGGTATCTCCAACTTGTATATTCCTAACCTGTTTGTCGTTCTGTTCACTGAGAATACTATCTGCTCTGCTGTTTTTGGTGAATTTGCTTTGAAGGTGCAGTCTATTCTCACTTCAACACCTATTAGTTATGGTTAAAGAATATCACCACCACCATCATTATTATCATCAACATCATCATTGTTTTAAAATAATAGTAATGGTGATTGCAAGTTGCAAACCCAATTCCCTAAATGGTTTATCCAACTTCCTCTGTTGAATATGGTTTGTGCTAATCAGTAACACGACTACTTATGTTCAATTATAATGAGTAGTTTGTTTTCCTTTTAGATATCTTTACACAATTATAAAACTTGCTTTATTTACTATACTTTGTTAGTGTTTCTATTATGTAAAAAGACTAGGAAATTGAAATATAAGTCGAGATCTGAAAATGATTATTACATGTCTTGTGTACTTGTATTTATTTATATACTCTTTTCATGATATATTCTTTCTATCCATAACATTCTCGCACGTCGCACCATAGATGAAGATTTCTACACCATCTTACTCTTACGAAGCTCATTGCTACATACCATGTAGAAACCGTCTCGGTCTATTCAAAACATGTCAAAGTCACGGAGAAGAAGAACATGGAGGAAAACCACAAGCAAAGAAAATTTGATGAATACAATACATAGGTGATTATATAGGTTGCAGGTCCAATAAAAAAAGTGTTTCCGGTGAAAAGTGTAAACAACTGCATATTGGATGTTTCTGTTGCATTCTTTCAGTGTTAGAAAATTTTGATTTATTTACCAAAATAAAATAGCATTTCTGGTGAAAGGCGCAACCAACTGCATATTGGATATGATAGCACTATTGCATGTTTATGTTCCACTCTCCCAGTGTCATTTTTTTTGGTCTATTTACTAAATTGTTACCGTGTTTTCTATTATCAAATCTAGTGCTGATAGTTGATTGGCTTATTTCGAGTCATTGGATTAAGTATGGAACCTCTCAAGGATGAGTACATTCCTGTTTGGAAGACTCACTAATAACTCTTTAGAAACTTTCTGAACACTTGTTTTTCTATTAGGGTAATCGCATTCTGATCATCATTTCATTGTAAAAGTGCGTGATAACTATGTTCTGTTGTGTGGTAATTGTAGGGTAAAAGTGCATTCTAGACTTCTGGTAATCGCTTTTATCTAAATGTGCTTGATAACAAACATTACAAAGATTTTGATTTGATAGTTCATAGTTGTTTGGTAAATTTATCAGAATTGTGTAGCAATTGTGAAGTAAGTGTATTCTAGTCATCATTTTTATGCAAAAGTGCTCTATAATTATGTTCTAAAGTTCTGAATTGGTAATTGTGTAGAATTGTTCGCGGTAATTATGTAATAACATCTTGGTCATAATTTTCCTATAAAAGAATTTCATAACTGTATTCTAATAATTATACTCCCTCTCTTCCACTAAGAATGTCTCATTTTCCTATTCAATCCATTCTACCCCAAACCAAATTTTGTAATGTATGTGTATTCTAAATCGTTCTTACTCTATCCTTACTTTAAGGATTCAATATCAACCACAAAAATTCATTTTCTTAAAAATCACACCACCTCCTCATGTACTAAAGTTCGGAAGACGGAGGTAGTAAAAGCAATGTGGTTTTCCTAAAGAAAAAATAATATACTTTTCTCCTTAAACCACATTATGACATCATAGGCATATATTGCACTATAGTTTTAGGATCACATTTATCCCTATCACAACTATATGATGTCAACACTCTTTCCTAAGGCTGGGAAAAAACTCCCGACTCCCGATCCCGACAATCCCGATCCCGACTAGTCGAGAATTTTCTCTGATCCCGACTAAGTCGGGATCGAGAAAATCCCAACATCCCGACATTATATATATACACACACACACATGTATAGAATTATATATGAATATATAAAAAATGAATATACATTTATAAAAAATAAATATGTATCTAAATAATTTCATATCTTTTTTAATTACTTATTCCTTACATAGATTAATCTTTTACTACGAGTATCTTATAATATCAAACTTCTAAAACTATTCGGCATTTGTCCCAAAATGAATATTCGGGATCCTAACTAAATAGAGATTATTCTTGATCTCGACAATCTAAATCACAACAATCATTAGTAAATAATCATTATATGTATTTTTACATTATATTCATTGGTCACAAAGTTTCCGAATGAGTCTACTTAGTTTTGAATTTTAAATAATATACGTTACACATCCTTCTTTTAGTGATTTTTGTATAATGTTTGAAGCAAGTTTCACTAAGCCTTGATGGCTTATTAAAAAATTATACTATTAATTAATTGAAGTTACAAATAAAAATTATTCTAAAAGTATGTACTAGTGTGAATTTGTGATGATAATTATTACAATAAATTTTATAAGTAGATGATGATAAATATGGTATAACAATGAACAAAGAATAATCTTGAAACCATTAAATATCAAAGTTAGTGTTTAACTAAAGAAATTACATAATTTTATGTTTGATACTTCATTGTCAGGATTTAGCGGGATTAAGCGGGATTCCCGATTGGAATCTCGACTTAATCGGGACGAGATACGAGATCCTCTTGTAGTTTGAATCGGGATCGGGACGGGATCGGGATTTGGGCAATCGGGATCGGGATAATCCCGATCCCACCCCTACTCTTTCCTACCAGGGGCAGAACAATGGGTGGGCGAGCCGGTGCCCCCGTCCCCCCAGCCAGAGTGTTTAAGGTATATTGAGTGTAAAACACCCCGTATCGTCTTCGATCTTCCTCTCCCGTTTCCTTTACTGTTTTCCTCTATCATTTCCGGCTGATTATTTTTTTAACTTAATCCAAACGGCATCGTTTGGTTAAGTGATATGGAGTACTAAAATTAAGAACGCCATCGCAGGACCCTTAGTTGTTGGCACTTGTTGCGTCCAAACAAGCAAACCTAATTTGCTAATTGGGGTCTAAAGCTTAAGAGAGGAGTTTGATCAGAGTCAATATTTTGGCATTATTACTATGTAGAAGACCGAAATTGCTTCTCCCTTGCGGCCGGCTCGTTTCAGCATTTCAGCCATGCCTCTCAAGCAGGGAGCAGATAGTTATTTTTTTAATTCCAACAATAAAACCAGAAATCATAGTATAATTTCAATTTTACTGAATTGTTAATTTACTTTAGACTTAGCAATTAAGTTTGTGTTACTGTGTGTCTTGTACTCTTGTTTACTCAATTACGTCGTATTTCATTTCTCGATTTCGTTGGTTGATTTCTTGATTTTAGATTTATTTTAATAGTCTTTAGTTTGTTTACTGATTTGCTAATTTACTTACCTAAGTTATTTCTTGATTTTACTTACTTAAGTTATTTACCATTTTAAATCACTTAGGTCAGTAAAAATGACTATTATTCACAACACATATGTAGTATGTGATGTGTGAATTTAAGATTTTATAATTGTATAATTTGGAAATTATGATTTTATAATTTGTCAGATTGCCTACGTTATGTTACAATTTGTAAAAGGGGGTGGTAGGTCTTATAAACGAGGTAACAAAGAAATTAGGATATTTTTACATGAACTGGTTTCAGTTTCAAATGACATCTGACAGTTGTAAAATACACATAAACCGGACATCTACGAGATCAGACCATGTCAGACTTAAACAGACCAGATCAGAAAATTTCATTCCAATTAAAATCATCCTTATTCAATAGAAAACAAACATTCCCATTTGAGATTGATTCTAATTTTCATGGGAAAAGCTAATTTTATTTGATAAAACACACATACACACATATAAGCCTAGAAGAAAGGAAATAAAAAGAAGAAAATTTTGGGACAACAAAAAAAGAAAACAAGAATTATGGGCAGATGATTTGTTTTGGTTTAGGTATAAAATTGCTCATATTAGTAGGGCAAGCAGACAAAGAAGAAAGAAAAAGATTATGGATAATAGGAGGGGTGATACCTGGGATGAAGTAGCTGTGTGGGGAGAAGGAATTGTTAGAGCAGATATCACAGTAAACCATCCCCATGACAGTGATCTGAGGCTCAGTGCTGTGGGCGCCATGGATAGGCATAGGAGATGATGAAGCAAAGAAGTAGAAGAAGGAGCAGACAAAGATGAAAGCAGCAGCAGCAGCCATTGCAGAAAATCAAATCCAAAGAGATGGAGCTAAGCTGTAACAACTAACAAGGAGAAGGCCGGATAGATGGATAGATATAAGATAAGTGAAACAGAGAGCCAAACAAAACTTTTCTCTGTGTGCTACAAAGTACAAACAGACAAAGTATGAGGCTGCATGTGAACTTTTTTTGGCAGAATGTGAAGTTGATGCATGTGAACAGTACAATGCGATTTATAACATCAATTTCTAAATTTGAGTGCATTTTTTAAGTGACAATTTACAACATCTATTAAGAACATAAATAAATTTCAACATAAAATATTTAACAAAAAATATCAGTCTAATTTCGGAGCAGACTAACTCAATTGAAGCTGGAAACGACCACCGACCGACCGTCCTAGTTTCGACATGGCCGACTATGGAGCAGTCAAGTAATCAGGCTGTTTCACTTGTTAGTGGTTAGTTGTTACAGCCTAGCTCCATCTCTGTTTCACTTATCTTCTATCTATCCGGCCTTCAATTTTAGGTCTTCAGGACTTCAGACTTCAAGCAATCAGGTTTCAGGTCTTCTAATTCTTCAGGCAAGCAGCAAGCACATTCTTCTAATTTTCTCACTTCCAAGCAGCTAAGCTTCTTGCAATATTTCTTTTTACTTGATTGATTACCTGGTTTACTTTTTGTACTACTATTAGTTTTGGAGGTAAGGGTCCTACATCAACTTGTATGAGATGGGGTTAAGAGTAACACTATATTGTGTTTGATCTTTTTGTGTACACAAATTCGAATTTTAGTGTTAATTGAGTACACCAGTTAGATTAACACGTTAATACGGTTGTGTTGGCTAACAGAATGCTAATAGGCCGACTTCTTGAAGGTCGACGCCAGCCCCCCGTCCCTTGATCGACGTCAGTCCCCCGCATGCCGACTTCTCCTTGGTAGATGCACCCCTGCTGGCCGACGCCCCAACAGATCAACCTCCAAAGGTCGATTTCCCCTTTTTTGTCAACTTCGTGAAGGTCGGCACCATAACCTTGGTCCCCCTTCTTACTCAACATTCCGTTAGTCAACTCAGCTGCATTAACGTGTTAATCTAACAAGTGTACTCAATTAACACTAAAATCTCAAATATGTGTACTTAGAGAGATCAAATACAATATAATGTACTATTTGCTTCATCTCATACAAGTTGGTGTACTTAATTGACCATTTCCTCATTAGTTTTGCTTTCAATTGTTAGTTACTACGTAGTATTAGTTACTACTTCACCTACTTGTATTCATGTATTATTGTAAATTGATGTTTGTATTAAAATAATAAAATCTTAAATGTGTTATGTGTGTGTATAACTCAATATGACACTAACTACAAAATTAGTATAATTGTATTGTTGTATAAAGATATTGTTTTAAACATTTACTCAAATAACTCTGTTATAAATTATTTTGTTGTGCCCAATTGCATTAGTTATCCTGTATTTAGTTTTGTTATTGGGCCTTGTATTTATTTAGCCCATTTAGTATTTGTTTTGTATTTGCTTAATTAATACTCCGTAATAGGAAAGTGGAATGTCACTTTCCTATATGTCGGATCACATATCTCATGTACTCTGGGATATCAACGCATGTGTATGTATCCCAGACTTATCGAGCTGATCGGTATCTTTGGCTTAGTTTTTCACTGCGTCCATCCATTCATTGTAGAGAGAAGGGAGCGTCATTGATATTCACATCCCATGTTCATTCATCGACGTATCTTTATGGGTATTGAATTCATGTTTTAAATCTTCTCTATTCTTGTTATATATCCGTGATTGTTGAATAAATATACTGATTGGCTTACCTGTGATTTTATGGACACCGTTGATATGAAGAACACTAGTTTTCGTAAGACTGTAGACCAGTGTCGTTTTTTATTCATGACTTTTGATGTGTTAATTTTATGTGCTTGATTCCTTGATAAAAGTTGTAGCTCTTGATGAGACGATCCATAACATCTTGAATCGTCCAATTTGTTTCAGCCAAATGAAAGTTTGATTTTTTCTTAAAGATTGATTTTTTCGAAATACCCCTTTCTTCGTTCGAAAGATTGATTGTATTCGAAAGATTGATTTTTTTGAAAGACTCCGTTTTTCGTTCGAAAGACTGGTCGTATTCGAAAGTTTTTTTCAAAAGACTCCTTTTGCTCGAAAGGCTTATATTTTTTTGAAAGATCAGATCTTTCGAAAACGTAGAACTCTTTCGAAAACGTCTAGACGTTCTTTCGGAAAAACTTTATACACTTTCGAAAAAACGCTTAATTCACGAAAACGTCTAGACTTTCATTGGCAAAATTTAATGTTTTTGTGAAAGAGCAAATTTGTCTTTTGAAACCCGCCAATTGTTTTTTGCTATCGTGTCCGCAAGACGCCTGCATGCGGGGATACGAATTTCCGATTTTTAACTACAAGTTGGAATCCCATATGCGCAAGAGTTCCGCTCTTCTCCTCTTTTTACTTGTAAGGAGGGAGTGTTTCATATATATAGCCTAAAAAACCTCCTTAGAGTTTATGTGTGGGAAAAGTTAAGAAGCTTATAGTCGTTAAATTTACTTGTGTTTAACATAAGTATTTATAAGTATTTGTTGAAGAAAAGAAGAGAAATCAGGCAAATACCTCCAGAACGACAGCTAGAGTATAAAACATTGCGATGAACGACTTTTTGGACCAAGAGAATGACGTTCTGCTCATAATTTGAGTATAACTTATTCTATAGAACTCGAAATCACTCGATTCAAGTTTCATGTGAATGCTAACTGAATAAGGTACAAATGTTATGAAGATGTCATGGCCAAAATATGAAAGGAATAAGACTCAATCAACCAACAAAGTCAGATGTTGCTGGTGGGATTTCAGGATGCATACCTCTCAGTGTTTTATCTTTCGATTGGCTGACTAAAATCGCGTCATTCAAGTTTTGGTGGATAGAAGACTTCACTATCTACAACTTTGGTGAAGAAATCATGTCCAAATTCGTAGCGGAATATCCCCAAAATCCCAGGACAAAACTGGCGCCGGGTTGCCCTTATAACCGGCGCCGGTAAGGTCTATTTTTCAGATTTCCTTGCGCGTAATGAAGAACCGGCGCCGGTTGGGTCTGAAACCGGCGCTGGTTAGGTCTGATTCTGCATAAAACACAAAGACGTGCAGCAATATTTTGATGGGAAAACTTCACCTTCTTCATGATCTGATCAAATATATCTTCCATGTCTAATTGTTGGGCTCGAATAGACTAAAAGATGTCAATATTTAGCCTATGTAAATCCCCCAATTCATCAAACAATATCATCATTCCATCCTTGAAGCTTAAATTTTACTTTTTATATTTTCTTTTTTCATTCTCTTGAAGTGTTGGAGAAGAAGCCATTTCTCTCCTCTACAATTGGTTCTAGGTACTTTTTCTTGTATGTTATTGTATTTCCTTTATCTTAGTTACACTTTTGTAATTAGTATGAGCTCAAGGAGTTAAGTTCTTAGCTAAGGCTAGGGATGAACTTCTATGCCCACTAGGTGTTTGATAAAAGTTCTAAACCAATAAATTGTGATTTATCATTTACATTTTGATTGTTTATGACTATGGTGTACAACATAGAAGTATGTTAAATTTAGTTTATACTTGCAATTAACGTTGAAGTCTAAACTATGAACATTAAAGAATAAATGTGATGTCTTGAAATATACGGAGTATCCGGTATTATATTATACGGGTGTGATGTCTTGATATTCAACGGGGTTTTCGGTAGATGAATGTAAGCCGTAACGGGACTTACACGTAACGAAAACCACGCTCTCGTTGCCTTAACCGGAGTTGAGAATATATTAGCGACATCATATTCATGGTTATTGGTAAAGAACTAATATTCAACCCTATTAAAGCATTTAAGTGATTCCCGAAGCCTTAGCCGTTGTTATCATTCATTTTAGACCCGAATTAATTAAAGTTGTTTCCTTGAATTTAAAGTGAAAAGCCAAAAATACAAAACACAAATCAAAATCCCTACACTTTACTCATTTATTTATTTAAAAGTCATCTACTCTCGGACTAAATTAAACAACGTTTCCATGTGGATTCGACCCGATATTTTACCGGAATTTATTACTATATCGGCACTTGTACACTTGCAACTTCAAACCGGTCAGAAGCTAACTTCTTTTTTCACTTGAAAAAGTGCAATTTTCCTACTACCCACTTCAAAAGTTAATTTTTTGCCCATTTCAAACTTTAAGGTACAAACTCCAAATCCAAAGGTCAACTCTACGGTCAAAGCTTTCAAATGTCAACATGTGATTAAAAATATATATGAAGTATTAGTAATTAATTAATTAAAAAATTTAATTGATTAATTAATTAAAAAAAAATCACAAGGTTAAAAACAGACACTTCTCGAGAACAAAGGAGGATATTTTTCAATTCAAAGCTTGTCAACACTTCACACTAAGGTCCATGAACTTGCAAACAACTCAATCAACAACACGTTAACGATCCATATCAGACAATCAAAATGGACGCTCATTCGAACTCAGCATCATTGTTTGCAAATCATTATGCTGAATCTTCTGATGAGTTCGAGACAAGTACTTCTAATTCCTTACATTCTGAAAGCTTAATTGCTAATGAGCGTAAAATAGTTAAGGAACTAGAAACCCGCTTAGCAAATAATTATAAGTGCTTAGTGAAGAGCTTGGTGAAATAAGTAGACTCAATACTCAACCAACCAACGCACAAGAGAAAGTTACTGATCTAAATTCTAAAATAGAAAATCTAGAAGTCGAGGTTCATGACTTAACTAAGAAACTGACTGTTATAGAAATTGAAAGAATAAAGTTGTCACGCCCCGGACCTATCCGGACACGTCAACAATCCGCCGTACAGTACGAATAGTCAACCGCAGTCCAACACATTCATACTATACAAGGCGTCTGGGATATCATTCACACATAGTACATCCATAAACAAACATAATGTAAAATATTCATTCAAAGCAGCGGAAACATTTAATACAAGTGTTCGTGCCACA